CACTCGCACATGGATGGCTCTTTCTTCCGCCATTGTTGCACTTCAAAGCACAACAAAAGAATTTGAGACGATAAAAGAAAATATTGGTCGGGTACTAGGGAGGAGATATGGTGGAGCGTGTGCGGCACTTAAGGTTCTTGGTTGAAATGAAGTAATTTCATTAGTGTTTGGATTTGAGTGTTTGGTGGAGAAACGTTTATGTAGCGGCGTATATTACAGTGGCTGGAAGGATTAACTCAAGGTGGTTTGAAGGTTTATTTTTTGTTTTTTTAATAAGAGTATTTGTTTCTAAAAATCCACGTGTCATTTAATGGTTGGTCTGTTTGACACATCATCCGCGGTTGTACCTCACGGATGAAGTTTATTGGACTGAGTGTTTAAAAGACACACTTTTGTGAATGAATGAAGTGTCTAGCTGAAAATGAGCTCAGCTAATGCGTGCAACTGATCATCTGGGATAACTTAAAAGGGCCGTTTATGTATTTCGCCAAAGTTAAATTAACACAACTAAAATATCATAGAAAATCATCCAATTAATCTCCTCACCCCACACTTAAAAGTGTGCATTGTCCCCAATGCACACCATATAAAATAAGAGAGTGAAAGAAACTCCGTGGTAGGCCAAAGGCCGAAACATTAGGAACTCATGGGATACTCAGACTTCTTCCAAGCCTGGTCCTTCATGCGGGTACCTCACACTTAATTCTAACCATCTGGTTTGCTTTTGCTTACTTCGAATGGTTTTCCTTTCCATGCTCCTACAAAATAAAATAAAAACTACAACACAAAAATAACACAATTAAAAAAAGTAAAGAAATAAAAAAATAAAAAATAAAAAATAATAAAGCAGTAAAGTTGGGTTGCCTCCCAACAACCGCCTAATTTAATGTTGCGGCATCATGTGAATCACTTTCTGCCTCCACTTTGAACTTATGAATTGGATCCCAAGTTTTGATTCTACTCTATGATCATGCTCTTGGGATAGTGTAAAGCCTTAAAAGTCAAAAATTAATAATTCTTTATGCACATTTTGGCTTTAAACTGAGGAATATCACCTTGCCTAGACGGCCTCGAAAATCTCAAAATATATTACTCGTCTACCTCTTCCCTTGTCTCCTTTCTACGCTCGTAAGGATCCATTCTCATTTCACCATCCAAACACAATGTAGAGAAATATTTGGAATGAGGTCCAACACGCTCAAACACATGAACTTCGAGATGTTCAACATCCTCTACACCAATGACTCTAGAGTCAACTAAATATTTTTCAGCAGTGTCCTCGGCTGACTGTAGTATCACGCCTTCAACATCGGCACCCTCAAATTCTAGTTTGATAGGTTATTGGTGTTCTACTCTGACCTCTCCATTAGCATCTTAAATTCACGCTCTTCTTGGCTACTATCCCTAATATTTGCTTGTTAAGCATTAAATGCTTCAACCAATTGACTCACTTGTGCCTCCAGATTGCGAATAGTAGCATCTTGCCTCTGTATGTGCAGTTGTTTCTCATTATTTTGTTCCATAAGGCAGCTTAGCATATCCTTGATCTCTTTCAGGTCATCATCCCTGGGTTCTTTATTCCTATTAACTTCACAAGAAAAAGTAGAACCATCATAGTAAAGGGTTGGGGGAGGATAAAAAAATAAGCACAACCATGAAAGTGACCATCTTGACCACCATAAACATCACATACATTCCACAGATAAGATTGATTTGATGCACATAACTCGCTCTCGAAAATATTTTGACAATTTTGCCATAGGTGGTTACCTCCACAATATACATAAGGAACAAAACTCCCATAATTTCAAGATGCCATGTCTCTCAAATTAAAAATAAATGTTCAAACTTGACACCAAGCAATATTTATAGCTATAACTACACTGTTAGTTACCCGGCAACGGCACCAAATTTTTATCACGTCCAACTCTAGTCCTAAAAAGGATAAGTGATCGCTGCAAATATAATCCGGTTTACAAGTCGGAGTCGAATCCCACAAAGAACTAAGATTTAGCTATAATTTTTCACTATCACTAGGAAGACAAGCTCGAACAATTCCTAAGTTATAAATATTAAGATTCCTATATCTAATTAACTAATAAATTAAAGTAGTAGATTAACAACTACAGATATTAAGGGTTGGAGAACAGAGTACGGAGGTCTAGAGTTATGATTTCCTCAATTGTCGGTATCCTTCTCGCTGCGTCTTCTATAATTTTCCCTAAGTATTCTCTAACGATCGTGAGTACTTCGGGTGTCGTAGCTCTCTCTCGAGCAACTACCACAATTTACTAAACATATTCTCTCGAACCACGCTAGCTGGCACTAATTCACCGCTCACTACGATCGCACCAAGGTTTCGTTATTTCTAATCCCGCGTTTAAACTCTCAGTATTGATCTCTCACATACGTTAGGAGTGATGTTGCTCAACAACTACCTAATGCGTACCCTCTCTCAAGAAATACGCACTAAATAGGCACAGTCAATTGATGGCCAATCAATCAATAGCAACAAACACGTAGTTGAACAAGTAGAGAAATCTAACGGATCAATTATATAAAAACATAACAAGAATTTATCCTACAAAATGTTCCATCAAAACCCTAGTTAACAAATTAGCTATTCATAGTCATGCTAACAATCATGATAATAATTGAAAGCATTAAAATACAGATTAAGGAAGAACGGAAGAGAAAACTCTTGTGATTCGTTGCTTCCAAGTGGTCCCGTGGCCTTTTTTGCTTCTCCAATAATGTCTCTCCCCTTAAGAAATAGGTTTAGAACTCCATTTATACATGTTGGGGGCGTGTAGGGTCTAAACTACCATGTCCTAGCCGAATTAGGACGAAATCCGCCCTTAGCCATCTCACTTGGCGCACTGGACACCGAAATTTTTCCACTTTTGTGCTATTCTGCCATTGGCGTTTTGGTTGGTGTCTGGCGCCAACTTGGGCACCAAAATTATACTCCCTCCAAATTCTTCTGTTTTTTACTTCACTTTGCATACAAGCTTGTCAAATCACTTCAAATTGACTCCTACACATATAAACACCATTATAAAGCTCAAGTCACAAATATTTACACCAAAATTAACAAGATTGAGGTATAATGCAAGTCAAATTACATGCAAAAATATGAATTTTTAGCCTAACATCACTGCATGCAGTGTCAGAACCAATCAAATAAATAAATGACATGTGCCTTGTATATATTTACTATAGTTAAGTGATATGTATTCTCATTCTAATTAGCGATTGTTATAGCTAAATTAATTGGTGTGATGTAAATAGCGAGAGTGGGGTAAATTTTTTCCATAAAAAAAAAAAAAAAAGAAACTGAATAGAATTTGAAGCACAAGAGATCGAGTTATAATAGTCAAGCATCAATATATAAACAAGTATGAACGACGACAAAAAAAAATATCCATGCGAGGGAACAAAGATCAAATAAACAATTAAGCTATCTTGCCACTAGATAGAGATGCATACCTTTAATTTAGTGTATTGATACATTACTCTTTTATCACTTTCACTAACCTTCATTAGTATTGAAGTTCTTCTTCTTATCAATTCAATTGAACTCATCGATATACTAAGTTCCTGCTATATACATGATTTGGAAAAGAACAAACCACATCGGGTCTATTAGGATTTGACATGTAAATTGATTAAGTTGATATACCACAGCTAAACAACGATGAAGCTAAGTTCCATCTATCGCAATTGCCAATTCCTTGAAAAGAGTAGTTTGGAATCCAAGAAGGTTAAACATACAATTGTTACTCTCCATACGAAATAATCTGTTAAAAACGGTCCGTCACTTCTTTTTTTTTAATTCAAAAATCAAGTTAACCAATATTTATAACTAAAAATGACTAGTTGATATATTCATCACAATACCATTTAGAGATTCCAAAGCTAAATTAAAAAATAATTAAAAGATAGTACAGTGTGGGTGCGTGGTAGGCACACCCCACAAATTTAAGTCTTGTTAGAGTCTTGAGAATGAAAAAATTCTAGTATTTAGAGCGGTCGATCTAACCTATTATCCACCAATGGGGGCGAATCTATCTTGTCCCAAGCGGTGTCATATGTGACGAAGCCAGAAATGTTTCTAAGGGTGTTTAAATTTGAAAGAATTAAAAAGAAATTCTCGACAAAGGATGTTCAATATATATTTTATATATCTAAAGTCAATGTTTTACTTATATATACGGTGTAATTTTTCGTAATATTTCGATGAAGGATGGTCAGTAGCTTCGCCCCTGAGTGTTATGGGATACCGCTTCGTCAGCTTTTGTTATTAGATATGCATATATAGACATTAATCAAAATTAAAATATGGGGTGTAGATATAAAAAAAACGAATATGTTATAGTGATTTGTTCATTTAAATATTGTTAAACAGCTTACGAAAAATTCTGTGTACTGTTTACACATGTTTATACTTTCCAAATAAACGAACCCAACAACCCCTGTAGTAGCAGTAGGAGGAGGGAAGGCTAGCTCTAATTACCTACCATTCAACAGTCAGCGCATTCCACCACCTTAATATCTGTGCTTTTCTACTAACTTAAGTAGTATTTTTATAGCCAAATACATATATAACCCATTCAATTTGGAATCATTTTTTATTTTGGCACTCTATCTCTACCTTGTTCCATTTTGGCTCTCCAACTTTATTTTATATGTTCCATTTTGGCCCTCCAACTCTATTTTTTATGTTTCACTTTAACACAAAAGCTAAAATCAATACAAAAAATATAGCGCGTGTGTATACACAAATTTAAGGTGTAATAAATATCCAATTAAATATTGCCACCTGATTTTTTCATCCATGTCAAATGAATCAATACTAAAATACCTGAACCTGACCGTATTTTTTCATTCACTGTTGCCCCATCTTCATTCTATTAAGTTGCAAAGCTTTTATCTGCCGATTTAATAAGTACATATAAGAATAAGATAAATAAGTTTTAAAAAAGAAGACTGAAGCCTGACATTATTTAAAGTTGATCTAACGTGTAATATAGTACTCTCATTCTCTACTAGTCTTCTTCCCAACTTGATAATATGGCAGATTCAGACCAGCTAATTTCTTCCTCTGATTATACTACTTCTTATTCTCAAGGTATCCACTCACCTCTAATTGATCATACTTTGATCTTGTTTTCAGTTTCGTGTCAAGTAAGTTGAGATCGATTATATGAACTTTCAGTATTGATGCCGTCGGATGTTTGTTTCAGGAAAAATATTGAAAGAAGCTGAAACTGAATTTTCTGAAGATGAAGAAGAATTGATAATCAGGATGTACAATTTGCTCGGCGAGAGGTTTAATTTCTTCAACTTTTCTTACTGCTTCAAGTTTCTTATTACTCCTTTTATTCTAATTTATATATGACACTCTTTTATTAGTCTGTTTTATAAAAAAATTATTTTTGTATTTGAAAAGTTTTTAACTTTAGATTTCCTATTTTACCTTAATGATATACTTTTATAGACATAAAAACGTTATAATATATTCAAGAACACATGTTAAAGGGTACTTTTGGAATGTACTAAAAATATCTTTTTTCCTTTTAAAGTCTATGTTAAGCCAAACGTTGTCATATAAAATGGAACAGAAAAAGTAATTGCGCGCTTTGTTGTGATTGATGGTTTTTATTTATTTATTTAATTATTTATCAGGTGGTCTCTTATAGCTGGAAGAATCCCCGGACGAACTGCAGAGGAGATTGAGAAGTATTGGAATACTCGATCTTCAACCAGTCAATAAATAATGCCAATAGAATTAACTACTGAGCTTTTTGGACTTAAAAAAAAATACAGGCTCAACCTGCAAAGAGAAAGTAGACATAGAAATCTTGTTACCTTGTCTTTCTTCCATGATTCATTGGGCAATTTGAATAAACTTCAGTTTTCTTAATTAGCTATTCTTTACCCTGAATAACAATTAAACTTATAATGTGATTTTAAGGATATGTGATTTCACCTAATACCAATTGATTAACTTAAAGATAAGTGATGGGAATTGACAAGAATGTAAAACAGTGCAATGCCTGGATAGTGCCCTCGAGCCAATGAATCCTCGAGCTTAGTAAAGTAAGAACAATTAAAGAACAACAAGTTGATAAATCAGAGAAAGAGAGAAATGTTATATTGCCTTGATCTGTATGAATGTATGTTTACAGATGATGAGGACTCCCCTTTATATAGTAGAGGAATCCTAATTAAGGTAGAACTCTAATTACATAAGTAAATCCTTGATTGGCACAAATAACCGTCCTTGATTTGATCCGTTCCAAGATTTCCACCGTGATCCTCAATCGGTTACGGATATCTCGCTTTTCCGTTACTGTGCTTCATTCGAAGTTTGTCACATATGGCCTTGGTTGCTATACCTCTCGGTTTCGGGGGCGCTTCGATCTTTAGACTCGATGCCTTGTCTTCGAGCTCGGGTCTGATTCAATACGAGGCTACCCCCCGATGCAACTCCCTTATCTCGATCAAATAGCAAAATCGGGTAGGCTCGATTTTGACCGTATACAGATAGTCCCCTCGTTTCTTGGAATGTAATGAGGAGAAACGAAATGAGCCTTCGATTTTATACCTCGATACCATGACATCATCCTCGTGATGTAAGCGATGGAAGCGACTGAAGCGTCATGTCGGTACGGTTCCCAAAATCATTAATAAGTGTCAGTTTGATGGTCGGCCATTAGCAACCTTAAAACGTCGCCGTGAAACCCATAAATAGATCCCTTTTCCACTTTTTAATTTTACCTTCAATCTCTTCCGCTCTAATCTTCAGTACTCTTTGCATTTTCCAAGTTCTTCTTCTACAATTTGTCAAGTTTTTTTGCTAATATCTTCTTAATACGCCAAATCTCCCACTATCGGTTATTACCTGTTCTTAAAAAATGGCTAAGACTTCCAAAATTGTCCCTCATAAAGAAAATGCCTCTTCATCAAGACCTGTCGGCGCGGCGGCGGCGGAATATCCTTTTACTGACTTCGTTCCGACGAAGTGTGCGACTGCTTCCGATTTCAAGGTGGAAAACGTAGCCTCGACACCGGGGTGATGTGAGCCCATGCCGAGGTACATGTGTACAATTACTGAGCGCCTCCTCAAGAAGGTAAAAGAGGAGTGCAACTGGGTTGGCAAAGATGTTGTAGTGCCTAGCCCTGAAGAATCCATCACTACTTACAAGCAGGGGTATTTGACCGTCTACACCTATCCCTTCACAATAAGTCCCTTGGACCCTATCATCGTTGCCTTCTTTAAGAGGTACGATGTCACTCTGGGCCAGATCCATCCATTGTTTTGGAGGATCGTGCTCCTTCTCCGATTCTTCGTAAGATCGAGAGGCATCCTTTTACCCTCTATCATCTCATGCGCCTCTACGACCCTCAGCTCTATCAAGGAGGCATGATCAAGCTTTATCGTCGAGCTACCAAACCCCCGTTCTCGAGTATAGACGAGACTCGAGACCGAGGTTGGATGGGCAGGTTCGTACGAATAAGGACATCGGACCTGATCCCCACCGAAGATATGCCGTTCCCTGAGAGGTGGAACATGGAATGTAAGTGTTTGCTTGGCCTTCCGAGTACCTATTATTGTCATTCCTGCTTTCTTCTCTTCCCCTCATCTAAAAATGTTTTGTGTTGCAGCCAAGGCTGTTGTGCCGGAAGTGATCCCTGATAAGTTAGGATTTTAACATGTTTTATGCCCCTACTTGCCTGTGCTTTGGTTATAAATCACTACAAAATAGTCCCAAAATGCTCACAAGTTGTGCTTGAATGCAGGTTTGATCGACAAAGTGACGAAATGTCAAAGATCGGCTCAAAAGGAGTGAAACCTGCTCAAGTATTAAAGACCAAGAAATCTAAGGAAAAGAGACCCTAGTGCGGACCGCGCAAAAGTGAATGTGGCCGCACTAGGAGGTTCAGAGAGTTGGTATAATCAGGCTGAGGCTACGCGGCCGCACTACTCTTTTGTGCGGTCCGCGGTCAGGCTCCGCGGCCGTACTACTCTTTTGTGCGGTCCTCGGACATGAGGTTCAGAGACTTGACTAATTTGGACTTAAGGCCACGCGGCCGCGGTACTCATTACGCGGTCCGCGGTGGTTGCTTCGCGGCCGCGCTACCTTTTGGTGTGGTCCGCGGAGCAGAGATTCAAAGAGTGAAGATTCCCAGTGTTCCAGCCATGCGGTCCGCGGTCCATAATATGCGGACCGCGCCAACTCCCTCCGCGGCCGCGGTACACTTCCACGCGGTCCGCGGTCCTCAAGTTCAGAGAAGCAGAAATGTGAAGTCCAAGAGCCAGTGCGGTCGCGGTCCTTTTTGTGCGGCCCGCACTGACCCCGCAGGGGTATTTTTGTCCAGTTTTTCTAGCCTAGTATAAATAGAACCTTTTACCATTTTTAGGTAAGTTTTTGGTATTCCAGAGATAGCTGCGCTCGTGAGACTCGGTTTTGTAGCCATTTTTGGCACTTTAGCTTTAATTTTACGATAGATTCTTGTGATTTCTTCTTAGTAATTAATTAATATGCTTAGTCCTTCATCTATTTCTTCATTTTCTCTTTTAAGCATGAGTAGCTAAACCCATTAGCTAGGGTTGTGTCTCAACCCTAGTGTGGGTAATTGATGGGTGTTGCCATCTAGGGTTAGATTGATTATGGGTGTTTGTTTTTATGTTTTTATTTAAGAATTGGTGGTTGCAAATACTGATTCAAACTTTGTGGGTTTGACTCTTCTTGAGAAAGAGAGTTTATGACCCCAAAATTGACCCAACAAGGAATTGGGATGGACTCATGAGAAATGATAGTCCCAATTAACGGGTTAAATCTCGAGAGAGTAATCACCCTACTTGAACCCTAGTTGCTTGATCTAATTGGCCTACCCAATTGGTCTCGTGAGAGTCAATTAGGCAAAATCACTCTCTCTACCGAGAGGTGTGAGAGTGGGTACAATTGTGCAACGGTTATAGCATAAGCCCCAAATATGTCAATCTATCCTTAGTAACATCTACCCGTCAATTAGCCACCTAGGCAGTGTCACGACCCTAGTGCCTTTCTTCCCATTAGATACAACTTAGCAATATTCTAGTAGCATAATTTTGCGTTAATCATTACTTTTATCATAGTAGTTATAAAATCAAAAACCAAGAATGTTTGAAGTGACATTAGGAGTACAAACACATCTCTAGACTAAACAGAAAATCCAACTCCACTACTAGCTCCCTGAGGAAATCGATCCCGATCTCTATTCGGGTAAAAGCTACTGCGACCCGCTCTCGCTACTTTTTGGTGGTGCAGAGTAGGCAGCGATCACTTTTTGGCGCCGTTGCCAGGGAGCTTACGGTGTTGACTATCTGTTTAGTTCGTTTTGTGTTTTGCTTCTCTTTACTTCTTGTTTACTAATTTTGTTTGTGTCGATAACTCAGGTACTATGGCTTTAAATGCTAATGACCCTCTTGGCAATGCCATGGCGGGGGAGGAGGTAGAAGATATTGATCATGATGAGCTTCCCTTACCTCAAGCTCCACGTATTGGCCGTCAGGCCAATGACAACAATCCTATTCCAGACCCTCCTCCGCCACCGCCAAGAGTAGTCCCAAGAGTTCTCCCTAATCAAGGGTATGCGAGTGCCATTGTTCCTCCCCGAATCCGGGCGGGGAACTTTCAAATCCCAAATGTTATGTTGACCTTGCTCGAGCAAAGAGGGCATTTTACGGGCGCCTCCGATCAAAATGCCTACAAGCACTTGAAGGGGTTCGTGGATACATGCTGGGTAGCAAGCAGACAAACGTGTCCGAGGATGAGTTGAGATTGAGGCTTTTCCTGTTCTCTCTTCGGGGTAAAGCGTTGGATTGGTTAGAAAGGCTCCCCAATCATTCTATCACCACATGGGATGAATTGGCGGACAAATTTATTGCCAAGTTCTTTTCTCCAAGTCATATGGCGGCTCTTCGGGATGAGATTCTAGCTTTCAAGCAAATGCCAATGGAACCTTTGCACGAGATATGGGAAAGATATAGAACAATGGTGAAGGAGTGCCCTAATAACGACATGACCGAGGCGATGATACAACAAACTTTTTATCGGGGCATCAACACCACGAATCAGTGCATTGTGAACCAACTGGCCGGAGGGAACTTTATGAAACTTTCTTACCAAGAGGCATGTGATGTACTTGATGAAATGGCCGACACCTCTTCGGCATGGCAAAGCCGAGCAAATGTGCCCCAAGGTAACCCCACGGTCATCCATTTGCACAAGGAATTGAACGATCATGGCCAAGCTATTGCCGAGCTTACAACAACTATGAATCAATTGGCGAAGGCGCAATTGCAACAAGTCCAAAACCCGCGCCAAGTCAACGCAATGGAAGGTGTCTCTATGTTAAAAAGGAGGCAAAGAGGGCAACAACAACCTCAAGGTAATTGTGAGCAATTTGACAACAACAATGATGGTGGTGGTTATTCGAATGAGTGCAATGATGATCAAAGCGAGGAATATCAATATGTCAATAACTACCAAGGGAATAGAGGAAATCAAGGGAATCAACAATGGCGCCCCCAAGGAAATTGGGGCAATCAACAAGGCGACGGTAATTGGAATAATAACAACCAACAACAAGGTGGTGGCAATTGGAACAACAACAATCAAAACAACAAGTGGGGTAACCAAGGTAACAATCAAGGCAATTGGAATGGGAACAATAATAATTGGAATAACAACAATGGTCAAGGAGGGTGGAATAACAATAGAAATCAAGGCAACCGGGGGCAAGGTTTTCAAAGGCCCCCGATGTATCAACAACCGAACAATCCGCCTCCGTTTCAATCTCAAGGGTCTAGTTCTTCGGGTAGTGATATGGGAAGAATAGAAATGATGTTCGAACAAATGATGAAGAAGAACCAAG